AGTTTTAATCCAACACATCTTAGTAACAATAACGTAGTGTATAAGTAACAACAACGAAACGGTAAATCGGTCCGCAGAGGAAATTCACAAGTTCATAGCGGAGCAACTGCAGACGTCGCGGGTCCCTCTGTGCATCAACCCGCAGTCGGCGGCGTTCAAGAGCTTCGCAAGGTAAGGCGCCGCCACCAACAACCGCAACCAACAACCAACCGACACTAGGTGATTTCTTTGCGATACGTAACTAACACGCTCTGCTACAACGACCACCCGCACCCATGTCTGGGCCACGCCCCGACCCCTCCCGACCACGTGCAGGCAACATTGCCACCGACACGTGTCGACTGTCAAACTGACATTTGCTACCTACGTCTATGACGTACTGGTTTTGTAATGATTCGTAATTCAGTGACTGTTGTCTCTTTGTTACCTTCACGTGTGACGATAATAAATCAGAAGATGCATACGGTCATCACAACTCGGTGTGTCACGGTGCGAACTGTTTAGTGTGTGCACGTCGGTGTCACGGCCACGTGCCTTGTGCTGTGTACGGTGTCGTACAACCCGACACCACCATGCGCAAGCAATATGGTGGTCGCAGAAGTTAGCCTATGTCGAATACCTTACACCGACTTCCCATCTCTCCCATCCCAACCCCGCCTAAAGTAGTTGAGTTTTGTAGGTATTATACGCCCTAATTATTTTTTAGCGACACAATAACTTTACGCGCCTACGGGTCGATTTTGCGAGAGCCCGATTTGTGCATGGATTTTGCGATTTTCTAATCGAAACCCTTTACGCTAAATAACATTTCGCTCCCGCACAGAACCGTCGCATCCCAGCAAAGTCAACCCTATTGAAATGGAGCTTTCGACGCTTCAAAAAAGTTAGTCGATAATAACGTTATGCTTTTTTTTCTGTGTGTTTGCGGCAGTTCTAGAGCGAGCTCGAAAGCAAAAGTTTGTTCCCCTTTCAAGACGGCGGCAAAAATACTACTTCTGTCGCCAGTGATATTTCTGTGCGCCGCGTAACGCGCGCGGCGGCGATAGCGTAACGAGCCCCAGTAAGCCCGCACGCAGCCTGACTACTCACTGTGCACTCGCGGACGCCGTTCGACAAGCCACCACTATCTGTGCGACTGTCGCATAATAATTCTGCCCTCCAGAGATAAAACGATTTTAATATAAACTGAAGTTATAAGACCTCACCTTAACTCGCATATAAAATAGTCAGCAGTTTTAATCTAATTTTGCTCAAGTGAAATGCAGTTAGCGTTGACTTTGCGAACGGCTTTAGTGTTATTTCAAAAGGGTTGATCGTTCCGTTCCGTCTCGCGGCGGTTCGTTTGCATTGCATGCCTCACCGATCCACCATTTATTACGAGTTCGACTGTTTGAGTTTATTTCTTTCAATATTCATGGCAATCACGTATGTCACAAAACGCATGCGACGTTAGCCATTTAAAAAATTGCATGATCACGGGTGTTCTTTTTACTTGTGTGTTTTACAAATCTTGTCCTTGTCATATTTTTTAATTGGTAACATTTAGATTCTTTCGGTTGTTTTAAATCTATATTGCAGTAAAATCGCAAATTAAATTATTCCTTAAATATTCACTTCGAATTCACTAAACAAAATAATATTGAGTTTGAATTGATTGAAATATCTTGTGGGCCGTAATGTTATTGTCTATCATTAACACTGTTTTCCAAATTTGAATCTTATGGTTATAGCCACATGATTTATATTTCGAAAACAGTCGTTACGTATCCTTTTTATGTTTGTTTTTGCGTAGTGCATGCGTAGACTCTACAGCGAGCACAGTGCCGAGTACTTGGTTGTGGTGATTATTTTTAATCTGTTATTTCTCTTTACGTAGCTATTGGTCAGTAGAGTTTGGATTTGTGATGCAGTTTTACCGTATCAAATCTCTTTTATTATCGTAGATAAATTGCCATTTGAAAATTTCTGATTAAAAACGATTGCAATATGCATGGTCTTTTTGGTTCGTTCGCTCGACTTCGGATACAAGATAGAGATTCGTAGTGATTTACTTTAACATTTCGAAATGTTTGAATTGTTTATTATGTCCAGAATTGTGAGCATAAAACGGCTGAGTGAGTCCGAAATCGAGTGAGAACCAGCGTGGGCGTGGGCGTGGGTGTGGGTAGCGTAGTGGCGACTGGCGACTGGACTGACCCGGTTGACACTTGCACGTTGCAGCTCGACAGTGGCGCACCCCTCCGAGTTGCCGCCCTCGCCGCACCAGTGGGAATGACGCGAGTCCAAGCGCGCCCCCGACAAGCGACGCGCCGACTACACCGACACGCGATAACCAACCTTATGTTTAACGTTATTAAGACACTTTTACAGTGATTGGACCTGTTTTAAATGCAGTTGCTTTTAACATAATTTAATAACAATCGTGACGTATCTAGTTCTTTAGTATTGTCCAATCACTAAGTATTTTATATGTTTCTTACTTTATTTGTGAAGATGAGTCTAGGATAAAAATTTTTAGTTTTCTTTTAATCTCATTAGAACAAATTTATTTCAATTGTAAAGTTTACTTTCGTTTTCTTTATTTAATTTGACTAGACTTGTCTATATACAAAAAGCCGCACCATACCTCATTAATGTGACTTCCAATCTAACGAACACCAATTTACATTGCATATAATACGAACAGACTAGTTTTAATGCTAACTTAGTATAGTTACGGAGATAAATTGCTTCGTGTGACGTCACTACCAAATATATTTTGTCCTATGTCTTTCTGATAGTATAGCATTATGCCAAGTATAGATGTAGACAGATTCCCTGTGAATATAGCTAAAGGAATCGGCGACAAAGCAGTAGTTGTAATTGTATGCAATAATATGCTTTATACAACGAAATGTAGGGGTGAGAATGGCAAGCGCCGCTGGTGATCTGGTAATTGTGAGTGTGAGCATTATTTGTAATAGGCTCTGGGGGGTAGGGGGGGCTTCACTTAGGTTAATACATTTATAAAGGCGATTCCCTTTTATATGCACTTGTATGAGAAGTGTATGAGTGTGCACCTCATTTGTTTCGTATAAAATTTGCAAGAAATGTATTGCAATATTATTATTAATATGTGATTGTCTTTTTTAAACTGTTTACTTTCTTAATTTCCATGTGTTCTGTGTTATTGTTTAATGCCGCGCGCAAACGTCGGC